ATTTTAAAGAAAAATTAGGGTTTAAAAAAGTGTTTGATCAAATCACCTATAGAATATGAAATGAAGTTTGTTTTAAAAAATCAGTAGTTTGGTGGAAAAGGGTGAGCCTGCAGTAAGAGAAACACTGCTCTGATTATCTAAGTCAGGGGTCGGCAACCTTTCAGAAGTGCTGTGCCGAGTCTCCATTTATTCACTCTAATTTAAGGTTTCGCGTGCCAGTAATACATTTTAACGTTTTTAGAAGGTCTCTTTCTATACGTCTATAATATATAACTAAACTATTGTTGTATGTAAAGTAAATAAGGTTTTTAAAATGTTTAAGAAACTTCATTTAAAATTAAATTATAATGTAGAGCCCCCCGGACCGGTGGCCAGGACCCGGGCAGTGAGTGCCACTGAAAATCAGTTCGCGTGCCGCCTTTGGCACGCGTGCCATAGGTTGTCTACCCCTGATCTAAGTGCTGTTAACAGCATACGATAAACTTGGAACAGAAGTACACTTTTACATTTTAATGATGAAAACAATGTTCAATTTTTTTTCTCTAAAAGAATTCTTTTATGTCTGCCATGTCCCTGTCCAGGACATATTTCCCAAGAGAAAAAAATATTTTAATTAGTGAAGAAAAATTATATAGAGAACATGTACTGAAATAACATTTTTGTTGCCAGTGATGATTATTGGTGTATTTCTGTGTCCTTTTAATAAATCTGTATGCTAGGATTTAACTTTTGTGCCCACCACAGAATACTGTAAATCCTACCTTTGGAAAATATAATAATTTTGTATTTATTACAAACAGTCCTTCAGATTGTTCGCTGATTAGATGCAACTTTTCACAGTGATTTACACAGTGCTGCTATTCTGTATGGATAGAAAATATTCTGTCATTGTTTTACTTGGAGTTAAATCCTTTGGTCATTTTGAATGCAAAACAGGCTTTAAATACAGCTTAACTCCTAGAACACTGAGACAAATATCCATGTCCGTTGTGAGCTGAGGGAGGGCCACAACTGGATTGTGAACTGAGGGATGGAGGGAGATAAATGGGAGGAACTTTTTTCCCTTGAAATTTCTCACAGTGCTACCATAAAAGCAGCTCGACTGTTGAAGATAATGGCAGAAGTATTAGTGCGGAAAAGATTGTCAGCCAATGGCATGTTAGCTGCTTCATCATCAACATATCTCAGAGCCAATCTGGATGATGGAGTGGTTAAAATCCCACCAGCCACCTTGTGCTCAGTCTATACTTATGCTCCTACTGTTTCTCTTACCAGTGAGGCAGCTCTGGTAATAGCAATGGTGAGAAATTTTAGGGGGGAAAGGCTACTGCAGATATAACCTTAGAGAGTCCTGAAGATCTCTTAAGGAAGAAAGAAGCTAACGATTTCTGTGCCACAGCCCTTATTTTATTTTTAGCTATATAAAGATATCTATAGAGCTACATGTAAATCTATAGATAGAATCACTCCTAAGCAGCAAGACATAATGTCTGCCAAGTTTCAGGCCAAAGCAAATTTATATAGCCAAATTATAAACCCTAGAAATAGGGCTTTATAGTGGAATTGCTGTCATAACGTTAACTACTGTGTATGGCTGTAGTGGGCGTCAGTTTAAGTTCTAGTTTTGATGTGCAGTTAATGGCATGAGATCAATCATGAAGTATAATAGGATATTTTAAGATATTACATTTGAAGAGAATTGGTATTTAAACATTATCTATGAACCACGTCATTTTAATGCCTCTGAAACATCATTCAGTCCTTGGTACAGAATCGCATGAAAAAATTCCTGATCACATTTCTCAAAATGAACAGCAGCTTAGGTTTCATTAGCTGCTTTTTATGTGATATTTCGAGTAAGAGAACTGAAATATTTCTACTGAACGGTTAGCAGAATAGTCCTATAAAATAGCATTTCCGATTTTTTATCTTGAGCCTCTCTAATCCTTCATTTCTGCCTTTGGGGGTATATTCTGTTTTTGTTTAGAAGAAATTTTTGAACATAATTTCTGTAGCAAGAAAAGTAGTAAATACTCTTTGTCTTGTTGCACCTAACCACTAATGATTGATTCTATTGGTTGCCAGTGATACCTCTCCCATTTCCCAGGTAGTATTGATTGTACTTGAATACTATGTTAACTTGATTACTCAGAACAATTTTTCCCCAAAACATTTGTTTTTTATGTTCCCTCAGGAGATAATAATTCCAAAATTGAAGCTGTCATTCTTTAGCCGCCTAGTTCAACACAGTAAAGCTTGCTGCAATACAGATGATGATTATAACTCTCACTGCTGATACAGAGAATGGGAATGTGGTGCTGAAAACTGCTAGTTTTACTCCCTTGCAGTTTAAAACCTAAGACTGGATACTTTAACTCTGTCCTTGGAAAAAGACTTTAGTGCTGAAAGTGCCTCTTGTGTTCATGGAGGAAGTATAACCTACTTTCAATGCAAAATGATAAACCTTAGAGTAGTGCTTAATAGTTTTGGCTAGTAGTTAAAATAAATTCCACTTTTACAAATAATAAGAATACACGTGAAGATCTCAAAGCACCTTACTAACATTAAATAAGATGCAAAATACGCTGGGTGAAATCCTGGCCCCATCCATGTTGGTGGGAGTTTTGCCACCGACATTAGTGAAGTGAGATTTGTTAGTCTAAGGTGCCACAAGTACTCCTCGTTCTTTTTATTAGTGAAGTGCATCACCCATACTCATTTTGCAGATAACAAGCCAATGCACAGAGGAGTTACAGTACATAGCTTTTTCAAGACTGCAGTAATATTTCCTGCAATGAGCTACATATAGGTGTTTGTCTGCACGAGCTCATAAAAGTATTGGGCCTAAGAGCAGAATTAGACCCAAAGTGTCCTAATCAGGATTCCTTGCTTTATTTTCTAGACCACTGTCTCTTCCATTATCCCACATTGCCATCAAAAGGAAGGAAGTTTCATTTTTTATAATTCTAGTCCATGTGCTTAGTTTCTGAATTTTTTAAATTTCAGCTAATGTGTAACATTTTGATTTATTAACAAATTTTAATTATAATGAATTGTTCTGTTGATTATTACTGATTGTATCATTCTGATGCACCCAGAACAGCAATTCTGAAGCTCAAGGAAATTGAAGCAAGATCCCATGTAGGTGGTCTTCAAAACATGTAATAACCATGAACCAGTTAGTCAGCAACAGTGTGAACAAAACATAACAGTCCATATGGCAGGCGCTGAGTAACTGCACACACCCAGCGCTATGTGTGTACACACACGCGCGCACACACACAAACTGGAACACTGAGTTCAGGGAGCATGAAACGAGCATAACAGGAAGTAATAAAGCAAGAACGCAGCACGCACACATCAGTCATCACATTGACTTTTCAAACATATGTATTAAAAAATATCACTTCAGGACTAGATTTTTCCAAAGTGCATTTGCACTTGGGTGCATTGCCCAAACCTTCCAATGTGCATGCATGCCCACACTCGTTTGCATATGCACGTAAGCATGTTTGTGTTCACACATCAGAGTTTACACACAAACAGGTTGGGGGCACACATTTTGCGTGCACAGTCTTTTGAAAATCTGACTCTGTGTCAAACTGTGCAGTGGTCTACTACATATATAGTTGCTTTTCCAGAGAATATAAAAACTGTAATCACAGAAGATTCCCTAAAAATTTTAAATAATTAGTAAACCAGAATGTCATTTAGTCTTTAACATTTGACAGACTAAAGCAAAATATCTCTGAATCCTTTTGATAAATCTGATCTGAGGGACTTTAATTTTTCAATTCTTATGATGCTCATGGTACAAAAGAAATAATCCCATTTTTTACTTTGTGGGACAGTCAAACAGCACACAAGCAGTATCTATGGTTTTCTTATTTTGTGTGACAGAAGGTTTTGGTTTGGAATATGCAATATATATCATGCAGTAAATCCAAAGAAACACCATTTCTAAGACAAACTATAGAAAATGTACAGGTAGATCTCATAAGAGCTGTTTTGTATCATGAATATGTCTAGGTGTAGACACACTGATTTCCTTCCAGTCTTTTAGTTATGAGCAATCCTTTATTCAAACGGAAACAACAAACCAATAATCATTTTAGAAAGAGAAATGATTATGCTCCATAGTATTAATGTAGTGCATTAGGGTACTAATATCATTGAGCTTGTTTAGCCTGACTCTGAGTCCCCAGTACTGGTTCTGTTAACTTTCTTTTTTGGAGCAAACAGTTGCTCAGTGTTTTTTTATTAGTATAGAAGTCATAGTCTTAGTATTATAGTATCTAAAGAACTATGTTGTGATGCAAAGATATGAAAAGCCAAATGTAATTTGAAACAACTCTACAAGGAGAAGGCACAGGATTGTGAATTTTGCAATCAAATATGTAGAACCAAGCTATTTGTGGTATGGTATAGCAGTGTGCAATTCCCAAATGGTAGAGTTTATTATCACTGTGTCAATGTCTTACTCAAATGTGGAGACAGAGAATCCCAAATTAGTCAATTTATTCTTCTTTTCTAGTTAACCAGTAAAACCTTTTGAAGAAAGTTTAAATTTCGGATGGTCTCACCAGCAGCTTTACTAAGAGACAATTTATTTATTTTTTTTTAAGATGAGGATGGTCTTAGATGCCTGTCTTCCATTCTTTATGTAACCTTTTGCATTTTGTGTTTAGAAACTGACATTCCAATTGATTTTCATTGGCCTTCTGCCTGGGTTGAATACTGAGGCAGCAAATTAGGAATGCTTCAGAAGTCCCACAAACAAAGACGTTTGCTGTGAAAGTGGAGATAATGTGACACTTATATTTCGAGCTTCTTAGCTTACTCAAATGATAAATGATGATATGGTTTAGGTAGTGTGTGTGGGGGGGGGGGAGGCGGTTACAGACTGAAAGAAGTTGCTGTGAGCTGAGCTTTGGGATTCCACTAGGAGACAGTTATCCATCATGTGACTATGCTGATAATATCTTTTATCTCTATTTCAGGGGCTAACTTTGTGACTCGAAAAATTAGCCGATCAGTAGCTAAGATTCACCTCGGACAGATGGAATATTTCAGTTTGGGCAATCTGGATGCTAAAAGAGACTGGGGCCATGCCAAAGACTACGTTGAGGTAGGTTATTGGCCGTGTGCCCTTTTTGAAACAATGCCATTGATCTGTTTAATGCAATAACTTCAGTGAAAATGCATGACCTACAGAGGGGTATCTCATGAATTTTTACCCACAGAGGCCTGTTAACTTAGTGTTGCTCTCAGTTTCAGACTAGGGAGTTCAGTAACATAGTGGGCTACCCCAGCCATGACCTGAACAGAAAAATAAATCTTTAGGTTTACATTCCTTTACTGAATTCCTCTGGGAGGGGTCTATAAACTGGAACTATTTTAAAGAGTTTTTCTCCGATTGTTTCTGCGAACTTTTATGTCCAACATTAAGATCATAGCAAGATGCAGTGAAACCTGACTTTAAAGACCTCACTGCAGGCTGGCGGCCTTTTACTGTGACGGGGCAAAAACACCATTAATGCTGACAATCAAAGGTCTGGTTGGTTCTGCTTCAGAAGGAAGCTTCACATTGATATTATGATGTCAAGTACTGTGTCACGTATGTGTCTATAGCTATTTACTTTTTCAGATGTTTTTGTTAGTCAAAATTGTTTAATTCTATTCTATGCATATACTTTTGTTTTAAAAAAAATCTGCATTGTATTAAAAGAAACATGAATGACCACATCAGAAATATTATTGTTTTCTCAGGAGAACATTGTCCCCATTTTGCCTCTCAAAGATTTCCTGTGGTCATTGGGCTATTTCTGGCTTTTAATCATTTCTCTCTGGGAAACCAGATCTGGCTTCCATATTCATTGGTGCGATTCAAAAAGAAGATCGTTGTTTGTGTTTCTTAAATTACAAAGTTAATACCAAAATAGCACCCTTAATTCTTTGGTTTTTTATTAATTTTTGAGCTTTTTGACCTTGACTTAAGCAATTAAAAGAAGCCACCAGTAAGACTAAAATAGATTAGCAATTTAAATATTGTCTTGTGAGGAAATCATGGTACCTTACCAACCCTCTTGATGACGATAAAAATGGGGAAAAACATTATATATGCATCCAAGCCATTACCTCAGGTGAGTGGAGAAGTAGAATTTGGCCAGCTGGACTGTAAAGTTGGGCCCCAGTTCTGCAATGCATATGCCTGCTAGGAGTCCTTGATGTTGGTATGCTATTTCATGTGAGTAAGAGTCTATCTGCTTGGATATCATTTTCTGTTTGGGACCTTAGCATGGTTAATTAACCCGGGAAATCTTCCTGATATATTTTCCAGATATAATTTAAAATAATTTTTATACACAACATTTTATAGCAGATAGAAAATTATTAACAAAATCTATGGGACAAAGCATCTCAGCTCTGTTATTTGTAAGTAAAACATAACTTTCCACAATTAACAAGCTTTTCATTTTTTAAAATAAAAATGGCATAAAACAGAAATTAGCATCAGAACATTAAAACAGTTATTAGAGTAAAATATCCAAAGAAAAATATATAAATTGAGTTTCAATCTGACTATTCAGGACTGAATTCCACTCTCTTCTATACTCGTATAAATCCAGAGGAATTCTATTGTACTCAGTAGGCCAAATCCTGGTCCTGCTGAAATCAATAGCAAGACTCTTTGTGTTTAATGGAGCAAGGTTGGATGCAGTGACTCAGTGGTTTCACTAAGGGCACAGGTTGGTCTACATTCATCAAATTCTACCTAGGATGACCTATGTGCAAACCTTTAAAAAAACAAAAAGCTAAAAAAACAAAACCCCTCATCTTATTCAGCAAAACCACCTGATAGAAAGTTCTCAGCTGGAGTCTCCATCAAGGACACACGGTGGTAATGTAAGCGGCATTCCAGATCTTTCATTCATATGTTTTTGGGGCTGTTCCAAAATCTTCTGGAAAGAATTTCTCACTAGGATAGAATTCATCTTGAGTATCTCATTAGCGGGATCCCTTTGCCTAATGGGAGACTTATTAGTTCTTCTCTAAATATATTTAAAATATGGTTACTTCCATTCTTATAATGGCTAAAAAAGAGAATAACTTTAAAATAGAAATAAACTATTCCAGGCTTTAATGGACTAGATATTTAACATCATTAGAATAAATATGCTGTATAATGTTAGAAAGAATGATCATATTTATAAGCATTGTGTGAGATTCCTTAAATGTACAATTGAATACATTCAGATCAATAGTATCCTCTCTATATTTAATTTTAAATCCCATTGATGCTAATATGAGTAATGTATGCCTGTAAGGTAGACCCCATGATGTCTTTTCTTTCTCTTTACTTCTTGATTAGGAATAATAATAATAAAACTATGAATACATTCATACTTGTTTTATAAAATATTATGGGTTAAATCCTGGTCCCACTTCAATGGGGACAGATTTCATCCTATATTTACTGGTGTGGGTATTGGTACGAAGTGTTGTCTAGTAATCAGAGGCTAGGTCTAGGAGTCAGGACTCTTGAGTTCTAATTGCAGGTATGCTACTGATCTTACATTATGATCTTGTGTAAGTTACTTCCCAATTCAGTAAAGTATTTGAGCACATGCCTAAATTGAAACATGTAGCTGTCCCATTGAGGTGGGACTACTCACATGCTTAAAAATTAGGCACATGGTGAAATACCTTGTTGAATCAGAGCGTAACTTGTAGACGTTTTTAAAAAGGTTTAAGAAAAAACTAATGTGGTGGGGGGGGTGTTTTGTTTGTTTATAATTTCACCAGTATTGGTTGGTACTTAAACTTCCACCTGCAGTGATTGCAAATCAGACGTTGGAGCATTGTGCTATGGATGAAAACCTGAAAATGTAATTTGTTCGAAAAAAGAGTGTAACTCCTTCATCTAGTTTTATTGTCCAAACAGAGCAAAACACAAGTAAGAGCAAATAGTGAAAAGTAAATGTGATTTTTTTAAATGTCAGTTTTCAACTAAAATATTAGTGATAGATACAAAATGTTTTTAAAACATCTGATTTTTAACTTGTAATTGACCCTTTTAATTACAATGAAGTTAATATTTGTCTGAATGTAAATTGGTGGGAGGAATTTCGGATTATATTATGAATAGCAATCAATACCACCAAGTGGGGGAAGGAGGGGAAGTAATATTTCAACACTGTTGATGTATGAATCTTCTGTGTGCTGTTTTGTTTTGCGAGGTTAATTTATGCCTTTTATTTTATGCAGAACGTTACAATAAACCATCTGCTAGATATTTTCAAACACTAGTACAATAGTAAGCACTTAACAGTCTATGACTCATTCCTATACCATGTGAAAAACACAACGCATTATATAAATTTCCTCTCACCGCCACCCCCAGAGAGTCTTAATTTAAATTAATTCAGGTTCTCACAAACATTTAACTTAGAGCGCCGAGAAAGTACCCATCAATCCATTGCTAACTTTTTATTTCCCAGCCGCCAAATACTGTTAACGCTAAAATCATGAAGGGATATAGGCAAGTGAAACCTTAAAGAAGTCTCATTGTATGGGAAGTGAGAGACATGTTTATTTGTAAAGTTGCAATAGGATATTCTGCAAATAGAACACAGCCTCGTTGTAAAGCTGCCCTAGAGAGAAAGTGAGTTCGCCTTTTCCAAGAAGTTCTACAATGGAGCTTTCCCCTCCTCTCTTATAACCCCTTTGGCATAGTGTTCTGGGGCTGGGCAGTGCAGCGCAAAGTTAAATGTTGCGCAGGCAGGAGAGGTGCAGAGAAGAAAAGCACTCCAATCGGACAGAGCTAACTACCCAACTCCAGTGTCACCGACCTAGTTGCGTTTCCCCCAGTTGGACACTCTGTAGACTTCTATGAATGGATCCAAATACTGAATCCCACATACCCTTTACTTCCTGGGCCTGGGCAGAGTTTAGGTATGGTTCCTGACTTTGGGTCTCTAGGCATGTACTCTAGATGTAGACCTCATGTCTGATGCTTGTTTTGGCAATGGGGACTCCACAGTCCAATTGCTTAGGCTCTGAAACTATTGCTATGCCTCCTCAGCACTCGTATGTTTTCCCCAGAATCCGATCGAAGGGTTACAATTTACCTCTTCACAGGGGCATGTGATAGTGAAAGTAAACAGATTTTGCAAAGGATTCTGTAACACCATTGCTCTATACTTAGGTAGCATGAGAAATACACAGTCCTATATAAAATAATAATCACACCTATACACATTGCCCTGCCTCAGGTCCACTCTGGAGAGTTCGTTGAGTTGGGCAGAGTCTTCTGCAGTGTCCAGGATCCTTCCCCTGCAACATATGACTTCTCTTTAGAATGTGGACTCTTTCTTGCTCCACTAGCTTTCTCTGACCTTGGCTGGTCCCTCAGTTAAACCAGGCCCCCACTGCTACTAAAGCATACCCATTTCTTCTTCTCTCCTGCCCAAATCTTCCTGTCCCTTGAAAAGCCTTCATTCTTTGTTCCTCCTGTGAATCCTTTTTTAAACCCCTGCACCGTCTCTTTCTCCTGCTTGGGAATTTTCCACTCTCTGCTTCCCCATCCCTGTAAACAAGGTGGAGAGACTAGCTTCAGCCAAGCTCCGTCACATAGCCATTGTTCGGTCCCCACTGCAGTTGTAGCCATTTTTCCTGGTCTGGTAGGTATGCGCTTCACCCCCTGTCAGCAAAAAGGGGATTCCACATCCAAGTGAAGGCATTCCCAGATACAACAATTTTATAACAACTTCATAACATCAACCAGCATTCAGAAGTTTTACATATAGATTTCACAAATTACCATCACATCCTAATGCTGTCTCCCCCACAACTCCACATCAACACCCCAGCTACTGATCTATGTATGGGGATAATAACACTTCCCTGATTCACAGGGGCATTGTACAGACAAATGTGTTCATGTTTATGAAATGCTTAGATACAAAATTGGTGATTGCAATAGAAAGCCTAGAAATAAATAAGTATTAGACAAAAGTCAAATTTCAAACCAGGGTAAAGTTTTAATGACCTGTAATTTACAACCTGTTTAGATTTTCTACAGTGTCTGCAAATGTGAAGAAACATTCTCCTTTGCCTTCTTTATAA